TATGCAAGTCTAGCCTCCTCTCCCCCCCCCCCCAAAAGTGGTTGCCTAAAGCAAAGCTCTTAATGTTGGTAAGGAGCATTCTCAAGAGATGGCCAGGGGTATGCTTTGCTTTGTATCTGAGCTTAGACAAATGATGGATGGAATAGTGGAGGTACGCTTTATAAGTTCATGTTATTGCCAATTAAAATTTCAAAAACAGAAGTCAAAGAAAAAAATTAATTTTGTCCATATTAAAGGTGCCAAAGATTTCCATACCCCTACAGCAGAAATCAAAGAAAGCAGAAAATGGGATTGTCCCGACGAGATGAAGTTGACAAGATTCTGTATCATAAACATGCCAAGTGTATATTTGTGGTCTCACTAGGATGGAATTCCCTTCCACTGACTGTGTTGTGTTACAGTCCATGCTTCTGGAACTCACATTTTTAAACTAATTCAGAAACAGAGTGTGTGTCTGTGATTCTATTACTTCAATATATTTCTAAGCAGATCTTTGTTTTTGTTTTTTGTTTTTTTTCATTTCACAAACAATACAACTTTCTTATTGAGAATCAACAAAAGTGAACCTGAATGACAGGTTAGATTCGTTGAGGGCTTTGTTGTTGAATTGCACCACAAACTTTATTATAGGATTCAACGTGTTACTCCTATTGGAAACTCAGGTAAATGTTTTGACTAGATGGGAAATGCAAATACAGATCTGCACCTAGCCAATATGGAAAAGTTGAGGGTTCTTGAATATGTACCTGTAAATTTTTCTTTTGTTTCTAAATTTAGTTTTAGTTCTTGAGGTCAAATATCCACTTTACCAACAGTGGTAGGCATATGAGCTCCCAATTTTGGGCAACGTACACCCTCAGATTTTCAGTGTTGTAGCTGGAAAAGAAAGAACAGAAGGAAAGCAGAGAACTCCTGGCATTCCTCAGGCACTAGGTTGGCAGGTGACTAGCAAGACAATCTCAATCCATGTATGTAACTCTCCATGTGACCACCACATGTACACAAGCCATTTGTGCACTACCCCAGGGCTTGAGGATGAAACTACACCATACACTTTTAAATCTGCTCTCTGTTACAATGCATATTCAAACATATACCCACCTATTGTCCTGCAACAAGCCTATGTCCGTTGCTCCCTTTATGGACCCTCATCTAGAAAGACGTTTAACCAGTCTTCCAGATTAGAATTCTGAGATAAATTTGGTTTCTCTCTTCTCTTCCCCTATCTCTCCCCACCACAATGTCCTACCCATCACAAATCCCATCCATTGATTCCAATCCCTATTCAACTGGTGTCCGTGTTCCCATCTCACTCTAGTTCAGTCCTAATCTGTTTTCATTTACAACACTTGCAACAAAATACAGAACCCAGATATGTGGTATTCTGAACAGCTAAACTGCCAAAGCAAGAAATAGTCAGGAACTGATATTTTAAATGTTTTACTGCAATATGTTAGAAATGTTATTAAATATCAACTATCCATGTCATTTTATTGTTTTCATTGCTGTCCTGGGGCTTCAACTCAAGGCCAGGGCACTCTCTCAGCTTTTAGTTGTTCAAGACTAGCACTCTACCACTTAAGCCACAGCTCTCCCCTTCTGGCTTTTTGGTACTTTATTGAAAATAAGAGTCTTACAGATTTTTCCTGCCCGGGTTGGCTTTGAACCACTGTCCTTAGATCTTAGCCTCTTGAGTACCTAGGATTACAGGCTTGAGCCACTGGTACGTAACTCCATCCAATTCTTCTAAATTTATATACTCTGACTATTGATTGTCTTTCCAATTCTAGTTTACTCTTTGGAGGGGAGGAGAGGCAATGCAGGTCATCAAACCCAGGGCCTTGTGCATGTTGGGCAAATGGTCTATCTATGGGCTTAGTTCCCAGCCCTTCCCTGTTCCATTCTAATTTTGTTGGTAGTTCAAAGCAAAAGTAACTTCTCTTTCCTAAAGTGAAAAGTTGCAGGAATATTTATTAAAATGGATACGCTGGGGTGCTGAAACAGAGTAACAGGACAGCCTGGTGGGTCTGTGTCTATAACAGATAGAAAAAAGAAAAGGAGAGCCATAGGGAAAGGTCTAGCTTTCAGTTTTCCTATACAATTCCCTAAAGGAGGGCTGTGATTTTTCTGAAAGGTATTTATTATCTCAAAAAGTGATATTACAAATATTGGATATTTCAGTAAAAACTAAGATTTAAAGAGCACTGCATATTGTCTATACTTTGATACAATCAGTGTTCTAATTTAAAATTATACTTTTAAAACTGGAAGTCATAACTGAGCATTAAAAGCTATGTATTCACAACATTAAGACAAGCAATGTCAAACTGCTCAACTTTAACAAAACCTGCCTCCCATGCAAATCTTGGTCACAAGGTAACTATTAGAATTAGTGAAATAATAAGGCAAGCATAATGTTGTTGGAGGTTACAATCAGCACTCACTATATACTGTTTCTAATGATTATAATAATGGGTCAGTGCATAAGAAACTAAGGCTTGGAGAATTAAAAAAAAAACACCTGATGTTACAAAGGTATTATTCACAGTGAGAGGTTTTATCTTTCTTGCCATTGTTTTTAATGTACTTACAATGTACTATGTGATTTTTTTTTGTTTCTTTTGTATGTTCCTCCCCCACGGTATAAATCCTGTTTTCACTATTTGATTCCAGTGCCCTGCATCTTGTATATACATTTTTCTAATTTGGGGAAGGGAGGAGAAATAACAAAATGCTGAAATAAGGATACAGGTTGACCCATTGTAACAATGAGATGTACAAGACACTATGTTGAAAACAAATGTTACAACTTTGGTGAAGGAGAGGAGGGAGAAATTGAGGAGGTGGAGAGGGAAGGGATAGAGGAAAAAACAAAGGAGGGAGTACTCATTACCTTACTCATGTAACTGTAACCCCACTGTATAGTATCTTTACAATAAAGATATATATATATATAATATATATATATATATATATAAGATTATCTCCTTAATATCAACTTATTTTCCTATTTCATTACAACTTATGTTTTAAGAAGAGAAAAAAATGCAAACAGAAAGCCAGGTCTGATTTGACTTTACTGGTGGAAGCCTATTTTAAAGATCAATTTCTACAAAAGATGTAACTGATGCTTACTCCAAATAGTAAAACTTTTTTCAAAGCAGACCCTGAGGTCGAATACTATAATTGCCCTCTTATGCATCTATCGTTCTGGTCTTAGAATCTAACTCTCTGCTATGCCAATATATCTTAAGAACGATTTAGATACTTCTAGAAAACATAAGTATTTTTCAATCTTAACATAAACTAGAAAGAAACTTGAAAGACAGTATTTTAAAAATGTATCTAGGATATACTAATGTTCTGGAATTAAAAACATCTATGAATGAAAAATACCTACTTTGAAAAAGAAAAGCCAGCTATTCTTCATGATTTATAAATATAAATTTATCTTTGCACCTGTACATTACACAAGAGTGTATGACAACTCCAGTCTCTTGACTAATATGATAGCTGATTTCATCATTATCACATTCAAAGTGTGTCTTGGGGAGATGGAGAGATGAGGGAGACTGGGGTGACACAGATCAAGATGCATTGTATTTACAAACTAACATTGATTTGAAACCTCTTTGTACAACTAAAGACAATAAAAAGAAACAAACTATATATATTTTTTAAAAGTCGATTCTGTTTCTATGCCTCCATCAGAAAAAATGACATTGCCCCATTTGTTAGGAAATGGAAACACTTGGAAAAAATTATATTAAGTGAAGTAAGCCAAGCCCAAAGAAACATAGGTCCCATGGTTTCCCTTATTTGCAATATCTAGTATATGTCTGAGTCAAACAGAAAAGGTCAGATAAGGTGATGTTAGGAAAATGAACCCTAAGATATGTATTTAAATGCTTTTTTTTCATTCATGCATTTGTTTCTAACACATTTATAAGATTATTTCTTAGTTGCTTTGTATGTCCCTCCCCCACAGTATAACCCCTGCTTTCACTATATTTGATGTCGGTATAATTTGTGGAGGGGAAGGGGAAAAATAAGTCGTTTAAATAAGGATACAGGTGGACCCGTTGCAACAATGAGAAGTACACGTTGTCATGTCGAAAACAAATTTTACAACTTTGGTGGGAGGGGGAGGATGGGGGGGGGCGGGGGGAGGCTGGGAAGGGATGGGAAGGGGAAACAAAGGAGGAGGCTATAATGCTTGATAAGAAATGTACTCATTATCTTGTCCATGTAATTGTAACCCCTCTGTACAGTATTTTCACAATAAAAAATAAATAAATAAATAAAAAGAAACAAACAAACAAACTATATATTTTTTAAAGTCGATTTTCTGTTTCTATGCCTCTATCAGAAAGAATGCCCCATTTGTTAGGAAATGGAAACACTTGGAAAAAATTATAGTAAGTGAAGTAAGCCAGGTGCAAAGAAACATAGGTCTCATGGTTTCCCTTATTTGCAATAACTAGTATATGACTGAGTCAAGCAAAAAAGGTCAGATAAGGTGATGTTAGGGAAATGAACCCTAAGATATATATTCAAATGTTTTTTGCTTTCATGTGATTGTTTCTAACGCATTTATAAGATTATTTCTTTGTTGCTGTGTATGTCCCTTCCCCAAACCCCTGCTTTCACTGTATTTGATGTTGGTATAATTTGTGGAGGGGAAGGGAAAAAACAAATTGTTTAAATGGGGTACAGGTGGACCCATTGCAACAATGGGATGTACAAAATTGTTATGTCAAAAATGAACTTTACACCTTTGGTGGTGGGGGAGAGGAGGATTAGGTGGGGGGGGGGGGGGGAAGGATAGGAAGGAATGGGAAGGGAAAACAAAGGAGGTGGCTACAATGCTTGATAAGAAATGTACTCATTATCTTGCCCATGTAATTGTAACCCCTCTGTACAGTATTTTCAGAACTTTAAAAAAAATGTAATAAAAAAAAGAAAAGAGAAAGAAAAAAATCGATTCTGTTTATGCCTACCTCTAGGGTAGAAATCTCCAGACATGTCCAGGGGAGCCTGCTGGGCTGCTGATCTCTTGTAGACAACATGAATCCTTCCTCTTTCCTCCTCCATCTGCTTGCCTCTTTCCAAGGGCTCAATGAAATACTCTTCATTTCCACTTTTTATCATTCCAGCCTGGAGAAAACAAAAAAAATGATTTAATTTTTGAAAGAAATGATCATATTCAGCTCACAAATATATCTTTTTAATGGCAAGAACAGTTCTGGAAACTAATTTTTGTAAACTAATTTTTCTTTCCACATATGACTAAAGTTTAAAAGGTTAAGCTATTATTGCTCATCAGTAATTCATAAAAGGCAAAAACATCCATATACGACAGGAAGAAGAAATAAATCATATGAAGTAGAGTACAAGTGCACACAGATTTAGAATAAGAAAATTATGCAATGCATTCATTTCATCAGTGTATAAAAAAAAACATATTTGTATATTCTACTCTGTATTGTATCTTCCAAAGAAATCTTAGGTGACAAAAACTTAAAATAAAACACATGGAGTTTCTATCTATCAATGCTATTTTTAAGACTCATTTACATCTCCCTTCCATACACTACAATGTAAGAAAAATGAGTTCTTGGTGTCTTTATGCTTCTGTAGACACCTATACTCCTAATATATGTTCATTTTAAGAATTTATGCAATATTATCCTATCTTAGTCTGTCTTCGTAGTTCCATTTTATGCTTTTCCACCTCAATCTGTATGAGCTCAAGCTAAAAATCCTATCTGTATCTTCAAGTCCTTCCCTCTTTCCATTAACTGTCTTCTAACTACTTCGTCGTTTGGTTATTCTGAAAACACCAGGAATACACCCCATGCTACAGCTGAAGGTGAACACAATGTGTCCCTTTTTTGTTCTTTTGTATGTTTTTTATTGTAAAAATACTGTACAGAGGGGTTACAGCCACATGAGCAAGGTAATGATTGATCATTATTGATCAATTGATCACTATTGATCATTGTTGCCTCTTCCTTTGTTTTTCCCCTATTATCCCTTCCCTCCTACCTCCACAACTACACCTTCCTCCACCTCCCAAAGTTGTAAATTTCATTTTCAACATAGTGTCTTGGACATCTCATTGTTACAATGGGTCAATCTGTATCCCTATTCACAATGTGTTCTTTAAATATGAAGTGCACATTCAGTCAAAATGTTTTAACTCATAGTTCTACTTTAAAGATGATACATTGACATGTAATAGTAAGTTAAAACGCAGCGCATTTCTTTGAAAACAAGGTGACGTGAATAAAAATGTGAGTGGATCAGTTATAATTATTTTGGAAATACTAAATTAGAGTATTTTAAATCAGGTCCTGGGGCCCTACCTTATGTTCAGGTTTACAGATGAGGTCACTCCCTTTCCTGGACCGCACAGAAGGGAAATGTTTCCTGCCTCTTCAAACCAGCACTCCAGTATCTCTGCCACTTGAGTGTCAAGCAGCAAAAATGAAGGTTGCTGTCTCTCACTAAAGAACATGCTTCTAGGGGAAGCAATGGGGAGCATCTAGCTATAAAGCTCTTTCACTATATTTGACTCTTACCCTCTGGATCAAACTCCTAGCCTTCACCTAAGACATCACTGAGTTAGGAGCATTTAATAGTAATGCCAATCTTTCAATCACACACTCCAATTTCTAAGTTTGGCGGGTAATTTTTCCCTCATCTGGATAATTCCTTATATTCCTGAGATACTAAATGCATGGTGTTTGTTAAGTTGCATCATTCATTCTTTTGTTTCCAGAGTTGTTATTACTGTCAAAAGATTAATGCTAGCTACGTTCTTTTTTTTTTATTATTACCAGTAGCAGGATTTGAGCTCAGGGTCTCACACTGGCTAGGCATGTTTTCTCATTTGGCTACTCTACCACTTACGTCATACCTGCAGCTCAGATTTTTGCTGCTAATTTTGGAGATAGAGTCTCAAGGACTCTTCTGCCTGAGCTGGCTTTGAACTGAGATCATCTAGAACTTAGCTTTCTTAGTAGCTGGGATTACAGGTGTGAACTACCATTGTCCAGCTTTCAAACATATTCTTATATCTCCTATTATCAGCAATGTCAGCACTCACTGACATTCTAGAGCAAAGGAGAGTTGACAATGCCCATAAAACATTTGAAAGCCTGGCACACTAACAGTAAACACATAACAAGTTAATATAACAGCACCATCTCCAAGGCTACAAAGTATCCAGTCTCATCAACCCTTACCCCTCTGGGACAGAAATAACTGCTGAATTATCTTGCCCATGTAATTGTAACCCCTCTGTACAGTATGTTCACAATAAAAAAAAAAAAAGAAACAACTGCTGAATGTTAGAAACAGTCTGTTGATAAATCTATTAATATATATTTAAGTTTGTAAGTTGAAGTTCATTAGCATAAATGCTCCATTGCTCATCTTTACTCTAGGTCTTTATTTGCCCGAAATCCATTCATTCTCCATGTTTTATAGACTGTTACATTTTTTCCATCCTTCTGTTTCCACTGACACTTCCTTAGGAATGCACCTCACCATCATTTGAATTATTTAATTTCCTTATCTTGAAGTTCTTCATGCATCCTGATCTTCCCAGATGAGATTCTGACTCTGGATTGAAACTTGCACAGTGACTCAGGAATAGGCAGTAGCTACAGAGGTCTTTTGAAAGCAGTGGGAGGTCAATGAGGCTTAGCCCATGTGCCTTTTAAAAACATGTCTCAATCAATTCTAGGTAAACATTCTAGTTCCAGGCCCCATGATGTTGCTTTCCCTAACAGACCACTAGTGAAACAAAACATAACAGGACTAAATATCTATCTCCCACAAGAAAGAAAACTGTGTTTAAGTGAGGTTGAGAAAACATCAGAGGAGAGTTTGGTGCCACAGCTCAAACATGGTTTAGGAGAGTTCACCAAAAGCCATGTGCTGGAAACTCAAACCTGAATGTAACAGTATTTAGAGGCTTGAGGTGACGAGGTTAAGACCTCACCATTTCTTCCCTTTAAAAGATAAGGTGCTAGTGGCTCTTGAGTATAATCCTAGCTACTCAGGAGGCTGAGATCTGAGGGGATCACAGTTTGATACTAGTCAGGTCAGAGAAGTTCCCATGCCCATGAGACTCTTTAATTGACCACTCAAAAAAACTGAAATGAAGCTGTGGCTCAAAGTGGTAGAGCATTAGCCTCCAGCAGAAGAACTTAGGGACAGTACCCAGACCCTGAGTTCAAGCCCCACAACAAGAAAGAAGGAAAGAAAGAAAGAAAGAAAGAAAGAAAGAAAGAAAGAAAGAAAGAAAGAAAGAAAGAAAGAAAGAAAGAAAGAAAGAAAGAAAGAAAGAGAGGGAGTGAGAGAGAAAGAGAGGGAGTGAGAGAGAAAGAGAGGGAGTGAGAGAGAAAGAGAGGGAGTGAGAGAGAAAGAGAGAAAGAAAGAAAGAAAGGAAGGAAGGAAGGAAGAAGAGAGGGAGGGAAGGAAGGAAGGAAGGAAGGAGCTGATTGGGCCAGCCATGGAGCCCTCACCCTCTGCAGGGATTAATGTAGTTTCAGAGGACCAAATTTGCTATGAGGCACCACTCCCATAAGCTTGGCTCCTCCTCCACTCAGCAGTTTCCTGTTCTGCGTCTCTACAACACACCAACACAGGCATTACATTCTTTGGCCTAACAGTCATAAGCTAAATGAACATCTTCCCTTTACAAAGTCCTCAGTTGCTGATCTTTTCCTATAGCAACACCATACAAAGTAAGGCACTGAGTTAGATAACTTCCAACAAGAGATATATTATATGTATTAGTTTAAACAAAAGTTAATGAAAAAGTACATGAACTAAGAACTATACTAGACACCACAGAAAATGAGAAATTCCTAAAGGACACGGTTTGTCTGCTGTCCAGTTACTGAAATCCAATCAACTAAAATACATGCCTAAAGGTATCCAATAAGGCATGGGCTACCACATCTAGGCAGTGATACGGTTCATGAAAGCCAAAGCAAGATTATTCTCTTTCATAATCTCACTTCAGCCAACTGTCAGCAGGATCATATTAGACAAGTCATCCAAAAATTATCAGCTAGGTCACCCAATATTACCTAATATCTGTTGTAGCTGAAATCTCCCCTAAAACACATCAAAGTAAACCTTCCCTTCCATCTCTACTCTTGAACACTGTCTCAATCTCACGTAGTATAACAATTTGTTTCCCTCATAGTTGGATCCACCAGAATGTGGTAACCAAGAGTTCAAACCATCAGGTACTCACATAAAAGCTAAAATGTGCCAGGTGAGGGTCTGCTCCTCAGAGCCACACAGGGGTCCAAACTGACAGTGACTGTGCCATGTCAACACAGGTTCCCAAGTCTGCCCAGTCAGCAAGGGAAAAGCATGAGGAAGCTGTCATGGGAGACTCTGGAGCCAGCCCTAGTCATGGTATTTGCTTTTTCTGCATTTCCATGGATCGGATATAGTTACATGGCTCGTAGCCAACCATGAAGAGAGCCAGGAAATGTAATCTGGCTGAATGCCTGGGAAGGAGAGACAGATTTTGATGAACAGATGGAAGTCTCAACCTCAAATAAGCTCATGACACTTCCCTTAAAACACTTTTGATTGCTTCCCATTGCACTTCAAAGCACACTAATTACCATGTCCCTCAAGGTCTGCATCATCTGGCTCTGTCTACTAGCCTCACTGAACCCTGGAGGCTGCGTCTTAGGGGGCTCTGAGTGCTATTTAGTTTGCTTAGCTGCTCCAGCCCACCATGCCACACTTCCTCTCCCTGGCTATTTCTCATTCTGCGTATCGCACCTGAAATAATTCCCTTCTTAAAAGTGATTTTTTCAAGGCTACAATGCTTGATAAGAAATGTACTCATTATCTTGCCCTTGTAATTGTAACCCCTCTGTACAGTATTTTCACAATTAAAAAAAAGTGATTTTTCTCTGGCTGGGCATGGTGGTTCACTCTTGTAATCTCTGCTACTTGGGAGTTGGAGAGTAGAAGGATCATGCTTGAAGGCCTTCTCAGATGAAAGTTAGCAAGACTCCATCTTAACTAACAAACTGCTTATAGACATGCTTACACACTCCTGTAAACCCCTCTACACAGGAGGGGTAGGTAGGAAGATCATACTCTCAGGCCTA